CCAAATCGGTCCACCAGAGAGGTCCATTGCTGCTGATGAGCATCGAGGTCTGCAGTAGTAGCAGCATCAGTGCTGGTAGCCACAGAAGTTGGTGGGGGAATGATGATGGGCATGGCGGGAGGGGCAGGACAAGCTGTGGGGGGTGGGAAGAGCGAAAGTGGAGCGATCTGCGGGCCTGAAGATACACTTGATGCTGCTGTTGTGGCTGATTTGAGGGGAGGAACTGCAGGATCGAGTGCCACTGGAGGTACTACAGTGCCAGGCGGAGCACCTTTCAACCTATCAGTTTCTTTTCCCTGTGTGTGAAAAACTGCTGACTGTGACTCACCATGACAACGATGACGAGGTTGACCAGACTCAGCTGCCATCTCCAGTCGTGAAACCTGTTTGCGAAGCAGTGCAAGCTCTTCTGCATTCTTTTGGTTGGCTTCTTCCTGTGCGAGGCATGATGATGCGACGAATCCTTGCATGCTTTGGGCATACTGCTCTGGGAGGTGTTGCAGTGCCAACTGGGCCTCCTTGTCGACCCTGGCAAGCACGGCTGTCGAGCTTGCTGCAAATTCATGGAACACATTACCTCGAAAGAGTGCAAACCCAAATATCGGGCATGTTGGGTCTTTGACAAATAGGACAGCAGCATCCTGTATAAGGACCTGACGGAGCCACATGAGGAGTCGCAGGAAGCCCTTCAAGGCAATATCCCGTCCCGCACGGCCGAGCATTGCCTCTCGCTGCTGCAGGGCAGCACTCTCCTGCTCGACCCATGGAAAAATCTGCGAGAGGAGCTCCGCAGGAGGCTCTGGTTTCAAATCACAGGTGAGGGCAAGCTGTCAGATGGCAGACACTAGCTTACCAAGATGGTCCCGAGCTAGGAAGTACTGCTCGGGCTTCCTCGCATTGAACATGGCCGCACCAAGCAGCCCTTCGAGCGGGAGGGCACGGTCGTAACAGTTGGCAAAGGCATCATTGACACTCCAGCAGCTGATGGCTTTCACATCATTGCCAGATGCCCCATGTGCTCGTGCAGTCTTCGCCGTGAAGTGTCGGGTGGCGTGCGTGGCCTTCATCAGGCTAATATCATTCTTGCTGTGTATGAGCTTGACTCGGTCGTAGTGATCTGTGGGGAGGTTCGATGATCCCGATTTTTGTACCTAGAGCATGCAGAAAGAAACACCCACTGTCATAAGACATCTGCCTGTCAGGTCTCTCACCCCAGAAGACATACAGGTTGTACCACGACCGGTGGCCAAATTCACCATATCCCACCTTTGAGAACTCGGGAGCAAATTCAGGGACGGGTTGTGAGACTATGTGAAAGCACGCGAAAAGAAGCATGGCAAGGGCTCCAACAGGGCAGAGCTCTACATGAAAATGTCGCAGGGTGCCATGCTCGTCGAGACGGCCATGTTGGTTGCTCTTCGCATTGTCAGCCAGTGCCACGAGCACCTACATACATACACCACACAGTGGCATCAGCCCTGATCTAATACTGACTACAAACACTGCATGATTGCTCACCGGGACAGTGTACCCCAACTGAATGTCATCTATGCAAACTTCAGAGAGGAAAAGATCGGACAGCTGCAACATTCTGGTGCCTTCGCCTCGCAATGCTGTCGAGGCACAAATAGCAGCATGGCACGGTCACGGAGACTGACAAATACCTGACGAGTGCCTGAGAATTTGGTCAGGCACCATGCCGAGCACTTTGTGAGCTCTTTGGTGGTGTATGCATCTGGGCAAGGGCAGAGACGTCAATTGTGACCCTCAAAAAAGGCACAACGAGTAAAGGAACACTGACCTGACGTGGTCCCAGAGGCTTTGAGCACCTGGGAGCTCTCCGCATGCTTCAGCTCGTCATGTTTGGCAGCAGACTCAATTTGCCAGATGTGGTTGTTGTCACGCAGCCGGACTTGAGCCTCAGGCACACCAAGGTAGAGGTGGTGGTGGCTCATCCACCAGTCCTCAAGGGCACTGATGGCCTGCTGGATAATGGACTTCCCGACATTCGAGCCAGGGATGGTGTCACTCGATCCTGGTTTCCGCTGATGAAAAAAGGAGGAGTCAATCAGCATAGATCAACGAGCCATCAGGCTCAGGAACCCACCTTCTCTCGGGTTCGCTTGTGGTTGAGAAATATGAGCACCTTGGCTGCCGAGATCGGCAGCACGGGGACAGAGGTCCATGCTGGGGTATCAGCAACCATCTCAGCTTGGTATCTGTCCCAGTAGGTGATATAATTGCGGACGTGGTGTGCATATGCCTCATTGGTACCCTTGTCGGCACGCTCCTCTGCCGCAAGGTGGAGCCGAATTTCGTGGGAGGTCACATCCAGTGCATTGAGGGAGCACTGCATGCCATCGGAGGCAGCAGCAGACGGCTCAACAAGCGCGGCTGCACAGGGAGCTGGCGATGAGTCCTTGACAGAGATCTCGCTAGGATCCATGGTGATCAGTCCATCAGGGATGGGAGGGTGAGCACCAGCAATGAGGCATGATGCGACAGGTTCAGTACCTGGTCCTATGAGCAGCAAACTGTCAGTACCGCCAGCAAACACACACACATCAAAAGAGACACGCACCTGGTGCAGTGCCAGCACCGCGGCACTTCTGCCTTGCCCTGGAGGCAAGGTGCTCACTCAAAGAGACAGGAGGGGCATGATGTGGAGCTGGGCCAACTTGCAGTTGAACCCACGGGCACTTAGCAGAGTGTTTTCGTCGAAGACATCGGATGGGTTATTGTGACACATCTTTGCAGGTGCATGGCTCACATTGGAACTCATGGTTAAGGGATCTGAAACGACGAGGGAACACATCAACCTGGGAAACATCGCAGACAAGAGCATGGAGACTTACCAGGAGGTTGAGCATGGGTGGTACTGCACGCCCAGCGAGTCTCATTTTTGTACTTTCCCGAGCCCTGTGAATTGACGTGAAAATGTGTGATATTGAGTGTGGCAGGGACCTGACAGTGTGGGCTTGAGTCTGAAACATGGGAAACAGAAATTAGAGTCGCGTAGGTATGATAAAATTATGAATTATGTCGGGGATTGAGTACAGTAGTTAGCACGAGAAAAAAGGCGTTTTGGAGGAAGGGGCACTATGCCATCATGGTCCCATGCTGTTGAGTGATTGGTGCAGTGTCTGCGCTGCTCATTTGGCAGGGCTCACGGGTGCCAGCGGGTGTCCTGTTGTTGTTGTGTGAGGGGTGAGAATGATGTCGACGTCGACGACAAGGCAGGGTTGAGAATGGACTTACCAAAACAAGTGACCGAGCGGCAGCCGAAAGTACGTCCGAAAACGGCAGGTGAATGGTGTACTGGATGGGTGACGCTTCCTTTCTTAGCCGGGCGTCACCTCCCTCAGTCGGTAATCCGTCGTACACTGTATATATACACCTGTAACAACTGTGACACGCTGTGTACCCTGTGACGAGTATCTATAACTGAGTGTCGAATATATGTCGATGTAAGGAATCAATTTTTGTGATATGGTCCGAGGAACGTTACAGAATTGTGATATGAGTACAGACATGTTCTAGATCACTGCCATGTCACATTATGTTATATGATCAAATCATGCTGATATCAGATGATAAACACCTATCATTGAGCTATTCGAATACATGCGGTACGGTAGAATTATAATGTAACGAAAATGTGGTAACTGGTACCAATTGACTGGACATGAGTGCAAAGTTGGAAAAAAAAGAGCTTATGAGTGACATCATCGAATACAGCAGAGTGAAAAGAGACATGCGAGCAGTTGTGAGTCCATGAGAGCAGTACAGTGGCAGACGGGGTAATGAGCATGTGAAGGGAGTTGGTGATATTGATACAACAGTGCGATCTAAATTGGAGTGAGCGAAGATTAGATTATAACTATTGAGCGGAGTACAGTAGATTAATGAAACTCACCTATTTCTTTGATTTGCGCTTAGTCCGAGCAGGAGCCTTGGCTGCCTTCCCACTCTTTTGTTTACGTTTGGCAGGCTGGGAGACATCTGGCTCTTCTTCTTCTGTCAAAGGACTGTCATCGTTGAACAACTCGTCAATGGGTGCAGAGGAAGGATAGCGTGCAGGTACAGTGGACTCTTGAGGAGGTGGCGATGAGACAGTGCGTTGTTTGTCATTGCCAGGCCCAGAGTTAATTGGTGCAAGGGCAACATGTGACTCTGGAGTAGGTCTTTGAGGTGGCGGAGGAAGGGAATTCTGATGAGGCTGTTGAGGCACCGAAGTTAGTGCAGGAGCTGGATCTGCAGATCTGGAAGCGCGTGAAGCGCGCGCGGCAAGCTGGCATTCCATTGCAACCATGTCGTCATCATCTGAACAGTCGATGTTCTCAGAATGAGGTGGCATGGCACCTTTTTTGTTACCAAACAGTATCCTGTAAAACAGATGTTAGATAGAAGAATAATAAAGTTGCTGACTTACTCGTTATAATGCGCTAGTAGGGAGTCAACCCACTCCCCATCTTTCCTGTTGCGAATGAGGCGCGTGATCCTGGTATAAAAGTCACTGTAATGAAAGCAGCTGTCCTTGTCTTTCCATTTGTCGAGGGAACTGATACCAAAGCGAGCCTGTCCAGTACATACAAAGTAAGTCAAGAGCGTGGCCAATAATAATAAAAACGTACCTGGACTGCAGCATACACAATATGCTCAGCATCCACTTGAGACATTCCATGGATTTTTGCGTTGCAAGGGCATGTCCCATTTGAGATGCCAGTCGTTAGTGCAGAGGAAGGGGATGTAAATATATGCTTGGTTACCTGAATAGATGAGCAATACGCAAGTATAAGATGAAAAATTACTTACTCGCTCTAAAAGGTACCCCCAAAACAGTCCTTCAATTATGTCGTCAGGGTCGAAGTCTTGCCCTGGTTTGTCCCTGGGATACAAATAAGCAGGCCATAAGGTGGAGGTTACCTTCAGTGCCCCACTTTTGATTTTTTTATTTGTCCTGTAGTAGTGTTAGTACAAGTAAATCAAGAAAAATGAACTTACTCGGCCGGATCATTGGTGTAGTCGACAAGGTACTTCACAGGACACAGCATTTTGGCCAGCTCAGGGTGGTTGAAACCCATTCTCGAACGAGACTTGCTATCCTTGGAAATTACAGGTTGGACAACCTGTTTATTGGGATGAGGAGCTGCATATGTACCCATACGGGATTTGAGGCGGCTCGCATCCTCGGAGCATATGTGATTGATCATGTTCTGCATCTGGGACTTGTTAGTGAGGTGCATTCGATACAAGTATTTAGGAAATTAAATACCTCGCTGATGAGGTGTGTGAGCTCCTCTCGTTTTTTCTTCTTACCGATCAAGCTGCCGAGATAAGGCATGTGCTCTATAACGTAGTTGAACATCTGCTTATAGTGTGCAAGAGTGTGATCATCACTGCAAACGAAATTAACATGCATATATACACTCAAAAAGACTTACATATTCTTGAGTATGTTCGTGCGGGAAATCTTGACCTGTTCTTCTTCCGATCGATCTCCATCCGCGGCTGCTTCATCTTCCTCTAAAAGTAAACACACCTGGATCACCTGCTTAAGATTGCAGAACATGTCCAGGCCCCATGGGATCCATCGTGCAACATGGATGCATTGCTCCTGCACAGTGAGAACTTTTTGGCGTGATCTTCTAGAATCTTGTCAATATGAACTTCATCCGAATAACAAATATCTTACCTTTTTGTCTTGTCGGTCTTCTTTTCACTTGAAATTGGGGTGCGTGCCTTACTACATGCTTCAGGTGAGCTCTGATCGAAACTACAGACGGCACAGAGTGACTCACCAGGCCTTTTTAGACTTGTTTCCATCATTATCAGACGTGTCTGATGTGTCTGACGCATCCCTTCCACGTTTACCAGATGGAGTACGAGCCGGTGCTGTGCTCGGGTGAGTACTTACTGCTGATCCATCCGACCTCGTGGAGGAGCTCGATCTAGAAGAAGAACTTGAAGAAGATGTGGAGATGGAGCGTGTATGGCGCGCCATGTTGGTGGGAGATGATATTGATAAGATCTAAGGTTAGCGACCATATCAATGTTGATGTGCTTGTGTTTGTTTGGTCCCTCATTACTAGATCTATTTGATAAACATAGCCACAGACTCAGCGAGGACTTCATATCACAGAATGTTCCAGCGGATGTTGAATTTGATATTCCCAGATGTCTCGATCATTATATCACATTATTTTCGATCATATGTATTACTTTCTATGTACAGTGGCTCAAAAAACTGTCCGCATGTTTTCACATTTTTCACTATCTATGATATTGTGTGAGAATATACAAACACATCAAGGACATGCTGGTACCACATTGTAGTACTACTTCAGGGCTTCCAATTGAGCCCTATGGCGTGGGAATCGGTCGAGATATGGTGGAGATATAAGGCTTACAAAATGATGACTCATGTGGACAGTTTTTTGACTTAAGTATTTTACAGTGATAATCAGGTATTCCAGTACATTGTGTGACCTCCCTTGGCTTTAATTACTGCCTCTATCCTTCTAGGCATACTCTTAAAACTATATCTAACTATATAAACCAGAATGTGTCATGTGTCATGGTCATAATCACCATGAAAGCCGTCTCCTCTGCTCAAAGGGATAATATCCTCTCTTTGTCCTGTGCTGGCCTCTCTGCTCATTAAATTTCCTCTAGAACTGAAGTATGCAAGTCTACTGTGGCCATGTGTATCAAAGAAAGCCACCTGGACAAGGAAAACTCTTGTGGAGGACATCCACCTCTGCTAATAAGAGGGCTATCATTCAACATATCACTACAGGAAAGGCTAATAATGCTGTCCAAGCCACCCATTATATCAATTCCACCATCACCACCACTGTCTTTTCACAAACTGTGAGGAGTGTTCTCAAGGCAGCTCATCTCAAGGCAGTAAAAAAGAAGGAATGCCTCTTCTCTCTATCAAACATAGGCAGAGAAGACTACCTTTGGCTTGGCCCATCAAAACTGGACTGTAGAGGATTGGAAGCATGTTATATGGTCAGATGAGACCAAAATCAATAGGATTGGGTCAGATGGGAAGGTATATGTATGGAAAAAGAAGAGGGATTTTCTAACAGACAGAGAGGTTAGTGAGACATCAAATTTGGAGGAGGTTCTCTAATGGTATGGGGCTGTATGGGATGGAATGGTGTGGGTATGCTTGCTGAAGTTGAGGGGAGGATGGATGCTGAGCAGTATGTGGACATTCTAAACAACCACTTGCTGCCTAGCATAGCTGAATCAGGGATTGATGAAAAAGACATTATTTCCCAACAGGATAATGATCCCAAGCACACATCTAGGAGAGCCAGACAATGGTTTAAAGAACATATTATCAATGTTCTTGACTGGCCAGCACAGTCCCCTGATGTCAATGTCATTGAACATCTCTGGGGAACACCCAAGAAGAAGCTTCAAGCCTATGAAACCCCCTCTAAAGGAGTATAGGAGCTGTGGGAGAGTGTAGCAGTGGAATGGGCAAGGATTACAGCAGAATATTGCCAGAAATTGATTGAGAGTATGCCTAGAAGGATAGAGGCAGTAATTAAAGCCAAGGGAGGTCACACAATGTACTGGAATACCTGATTATCACTGTAAAATACTTAAGTCAAAAAACTGTCCACATGAGTCATCATTTTGTAAGCCTTATATCTCCACCATATCTCGACCGATTCCCACGCCATAGGGCTCAATTGGAAGCCCTGAAGTAGTACTACAATGTGGTACCAGCATGTCCTTGATGTGTTTGTATATTCTCACACAATATCATAGATAGTGAAAAATGTGAAAACATGTGGACAGTTTTTTGAGCCACTGTATATGCGCTTCAACGAGCTATCACATCCCCCTCGAATATCTATGTAAGTCGCCAATCCTTCACACATATCCCACTCAAATGTCTAATAGGTGAGTTGCAAATCTTCTATACATACTACTCACATTTCTACCTTTACCAGGAATCCTTATTATGAGATCGGCAAGATCCCACCTCCTCGGGGGTACATATCCCGGCGAGGATCCACAGGATACTCCAACGTGGAGTTCTGGTGATTCTCGTTAGTGCGATCGAGCGCAGAGAATTTTTAAGGTACGTTCCATCGAGTTTTTACATCGTGTAGCAGGATTAATGCTTCATTTCAGTCGTTTAATTAATGTAAATTTACAGTAGACTATGATTGCAATACATTGTAGATCATTTAAATATCACAGTGCTGGACAACTGAGTTCTGCAACTACTAGTGAGGACGTGTCTCCCCCCCCCCCCTTCTCCGCATTTTTACCATGGCCAATGACCTCCGCTGCTTAGCTTGCAGCACAACATTTGGTTCACGCAAGCAGCTATCAACGCATTCCAGTCAATGCGCACTCAATTTTTCCCTTACTGATCAAATTTTCAGTCGCAAACACAAGTCAGATAAGAAGAAGAAAAAAGACAAGAGGGCTCGGCACAACATATCCCCCAATCGTGTTCCTGACAATGTTTTCGTTCCAGATCAGCCCGAGATTCAGGACTCTATGCCTATCGATCAGGAAGGTGATTTTAATAATGATGTATGTATTAATTTGATTTCTACAACACGATTGTACTAACTACACATTTACTAGATTGAAATGAGTCGTGTGCCATTGCCCTCACCTCCACCTGTTGTCTCCCAGCACTCTGGACGAAGAATACGCATGCCCGCTGTGGGTACAACAAGTGCAGTGGAGTGAAATCGATCTACTACACAGTTGGGTCTTTGCTGCCTGCTGCCTCTCTTGAGAACAAGCACGTTCGACCCTTAAGGGGATTGCTACTGGGGAGTGCTAATCTCTGTCTAAGCGACCCTATTCAACCCTACCGCAGGTAGGATGAGGATCCGCAAAAATGCAGAACAAGCAGAACAAGCAGAACTCGCGCAGAACAAGCAGAACCCGAGTGGAACTCAAGCGGGATGGAAGGGAATGAAACAGAACTCAAACGGATAAAGCGCGGAACATACTGATTTGTCGGAACTCGCAGGCAAAGTCCAAGGAAGTATATCACAAGGTTAGATTGATAGTGGGCATAAGTCAAAGCGGTCCTCTAGTAAGGTGAAGGTAAAGTGGGAAGGTAAAAGATGGGATTCAATAAATTACCCCCAAGCCCTGAGTACCACTACTTAAAGGGAAGATTATTTTCAAGGTACACTGAGGTACAGGTAGTAAGTTCTCAGGAAGCGGAAGTGAAGGCAGGCAGTGCACATGGGCGCAATACTCCAGAATAGGGGTCCGTGCCATAAGGGCATGTGTCAATTTGATCCGGATAACGTTAGGAACAGCGGGAAGAGAGATACAGCATACCAATGGACCTGGAAGGATGGGGACAGGACATGCGAAGGTTGTCTGATGATGCACGGGAATATCGGATAGTGTGGGTAGGTTCCAAAGGATGCGTGGGAATGCGGAACCCATCGGACGATGCGCGGGAAATGCGGAATGTGCGGAATACGCGGAACTGATGTGAGATGATGCGGAAAGGACGGGGTTTTACACCTACAGTGGGGGAATTCCCCACACCGCCTGCTTTGTGGACTTCTTGCCAGGTTCAGTGACTCACCTGGCACATATGCCGCCCTCTACCTGTCAGCAATGCGAACATCACAATGATGTCATTGCGGATCAACTCATGGACCCCCAGCCTCGTGTGCCTTCCCTGGTGCAGTCAGAGCACGATGCCCCCCCCCCCCCCCCGATTTTCATACCCTTTGAGATGAAACCTGATGCAGCAGGTCTCTACCGGGTTTATCCTACCCGCCCCAGCTCACTCCCCACTAATAATGACAAAACTTTGAGTGAAGCGGATGCGATCCGTTAGTACCCTAAGCAATGCGGATCGGGTTCGCAGATACACCTAAGTAAAGTGGATGGAATCCGCACTACTCTAGATTAGCTACACTGTGGTATAAATGAATGTAAGTGAAGACATACCTCAGTGTCATGAATGTTCCCTATTGCATCTAAAATTCGATTATCAAACCCTAAGTCACCTATCTGATAAGATTAGATGGATAAGATCCCTGATAAGATAAGATGGATAACCGATTAACGATCACTATCTTTACATCACATCTACGTCATCCATCTATATCTGTAACCCTAGACATCCGACATCATCATATCCTTAGAAGTCCTACAATTAGGCAACGGGTTACATCATAAACATCTACACGCCTCTATGATCGAACCACAACTGAGAGTCCCTTATGAGCCGTCTCTCATAGTCATCACCTCTTCACATCGCATACCTTCACTTCCCACACATGACATGTTAAGAGTTACCTCTGTCATTCACTGAACCTCTTACATTAGAACCTGTTGCACAGTCACAGCTGAACCCTGAACCCCTATCACAGAAGCGCCACTCATAGAGAAGCATGCTCATTACCGAAGACCCTGGAGAAACCCTTAGATCCAATCGTACTCGATGCATCTCCAGATTCTACCCCTTATCGAGATCCTTAATCCCCGCTCGAGACTTCTTGTCACAGAACTCTCTCACTCCTTCATATCCGTTCACCCTGAATAGAAGCAGTACCCTAAGACCCTGCTTAATCACCGATACCCCTAAACCCTATGGACCCTTTCTTGTAGTTGATTGGTTGGTAAGAGGCCCTATACCCTAGGTGCAATGTTATGACCGTATATAGATATATCACCACCTTTCATACTCAGATATCTCCGACCCAAGTATAGTATATAGTCTAGGTAGTAGTCAGTAGTACTCCTTAGACTTAACCTCTTCGTTCTTACGTCATCGTAGACCTAGACGTTCCCTCTCAATCCTATCCTTGTTTTATCATCTCTCAGACGAGTCCTGTGGTGTGGTCCGATCTCCAAACACCTACTAGTTAGGTTAAGGGACGTTGGTCATAACACTCAGCCGCTGCCAAAGGAGGCGATAGAAACGACTGAGGGAAAGTATGTACCAAAGCACCTCTAATATATGGGCAAAAACCCGCTTGCTAACCGACCATGCATATCGCCTATGAGTCCATGACTTGTATCAAATGCACTCACTATTACATGTACACCCGAAACATTCCGAAACAATCCAATGCACCTTATTACATATCCGAGCGCATGCACTTGCATCTGACCACACATGCAAGTGACAGATCATCCATGCATGCATGGGCAAGCATCAGATGGGAGATGGATACCCGCAGATGGGTCTAGGATGGGTCAGATGGATGTGGAATATCATCTGGTTTTGTCACTCCCACTCAAGCGGAGTCGTAGTCCCATGGCTTTGGTAAACTTCCAGTGCTTCTCATGCGTGAGCGGTTTGGTCAGAATGTCCGCTACCATATCATCCGTGGATACGTATTGGATGACAGCTTCTCTGGTTGCGACCAGGTCGTCGCGGACAAAATGGTACTTGTGCTGGATGTGTTTTGTGCGTGCGCGGAACTGCGCGTCTTTTGTGAGGATGATTGCAGCTTGATTGTTGCAATGGAGAAGGGTTGGACGACGTTGCTTGTATCGGATCTCCTCAAAAAACATGCGGAGCCATGCTAAGTGTTGTCCCGCATTGCTGAGGCTGATGTATTCCAATTCTGTGGTGGATAGCACTACCATGCTTTGCCGCTTACTAGCCCATGAAATGGCACCACGGTTGGTGATGAAAGTGAACCCGGAAGTGGAACAAGAGGTATCCGAGTCACCCGACCAATCCACATCTGTGTATCCATGGAAATCCATGTCCATGGATATGTCAGTTCCATCATATACCAACTCCATGTCTCGTGTTGCTTGCAGATAGCAAAGAACACGCTTTGCGGCTTCCCAGTGTTGGTTTTTAGGGGCTGCGCTGTACCTGCTGAGCACTCCCACTGCATATGTGATATCTGGACGTGTCCCGAGCATAGCATACATGAGTGATCCGACGACGGATAGGTAGGATATGTGGGTGCCATCTATGGTCATCTCATGACAGGTCGCATGGTCATCTGGTTGTTCCGCTGTGAGCCATGAGCCATGCGCCATGGGTGTCCACACAGGTTTGCACTGCGACATACCCGTGCGCTTGAGGATGGTGTCTACATATTGTCGCTGGGACAATGCGATCTTCTGCGCTGGGCGATCACGGCGGATCTCGATGCCTAGGATGAATTTTGCTTCTCCAAGGTCGCGCATCTTGAACTGCGATGCAAGCATGCGTTTCACCTTATCCATGAAAGGTCGGGTGGTAGCAGCTAGTAGTAGGTCGTCAACATACACTACAAGAAAGCACACTTGCCCCTTTTCCCGGAAAATGTATAGACATGTTTCTGCATCTAAGCGGGTGAATCCAACGTCTCCCAGTTTCCGATCTAGAGTCTTGTTCCATGTCTGGCCTGCTTGTTTGAGTCCATAGAGTGAGTGCTTGAGTTTCCAACAGTATCCCAGCTGGATGGGTACTCCTTCGGGTGGTAGCATGTATAACTCCTCTTCTAGTTCACCGTTCAGGTATGCGGTTGACACATCCATCTGGTCTAGCTCGAGGTCGTGTTTTGCAGTGAGGGATAGGATGATGCGGATGGACTCAAGGTTAGCGACAGGTGCGAAAACTTCCTGGTAGTCTACTCCTTCCTTTTGAGAGAATCTGTGGGCGACTATCCACAACTTGTACCATTCAACATTTCCGTTTTGGTCTTTCTTGATGCGGAAGACAGGCTTGGAGGTGATCAGCTTGATGCCTTCAGGGATTGGGACAGTCTCATAGACTTGGTTTTCATTCAGGCTGGAAAGTTCCTCCTCTAGAGCCGATTTCCATAATCCTCCATCTGGGCGGATGAAAGCTTCTGGTAATGTCTTGGGGAGATTGTCTTTGGACGGGCCCATGGCTGCTGCACCAGCGAAATATATGTCATCCGGGTCTATGGCGTTGAAGGTTGCATGACTTGCATCCGGTGGTTCAGGTTGGCCATCCAAGTGTTCATCCGATGCACTTGTGTCCTCATGCGGTGCAGGCGGATCCACGGGTGCTTGGCAGCATGCGGCTTCTTCATCCAAAGTCCATTGGTAGTCGCGGTTTTGATCCCAAGGTCGTGTAGCGTGGGTGCTGCATCAGACCCCAGCTACTACCTGTGCAGGTCGTGCGCAGTTTGGAGATGGCGATCACATGCGTGGTGCAGAACCCGTAGCATCCGAGGCTTGCACATCTGGATTGATCGACAAGTTGTCTAGCCTTGTGCATATGTCTTCAACATCCGGTTCTATCTGTGCTCCCACTGCGCCTGGTTCGACCTTCGGATGGTGCACGGATGCAGGTGGATCTGCCAGATCCGGAGGATGTATGGCTGGAGCCTGTGGGAGGTCTATGCAATGTCATGGAGGAGGTGGATCGTCATCCATATGGTCTAAGTCATGGTTGTAGACATGTGGAACTATACCCTCCCACTGCTGGACTTGCAGATGGATGTTCCAAGGTGCATAATCATCCAGGGGAACTTGCGTGGTTTCATTGAAGATGACATGCCGACTGGAGAATATGGTGCGCTTCTCGAGGTCTAGGAGTTTGTATGCTTTCTTTCCATGGGCATATCCGAGCATGATGGCTTTTCTCCCTTTCGGGTGGAACTTCCCTCCGCGCTTGTCCTTTGGTATGAGCGCATATGTGGAGCATCCGAATGGTCGGAAGAACGTGGGGTCTACGCATCTGTGGAAGAGATGTCCATACGGGCTGTTGCCCTTTAGACCCGTAGCTGAACTCCGAGTGGTGATGTATGCTGCAGTGAGCATGGCATCCGCCCAGAACGACTTTGGCAGTTTCAACTCTTCGAGCATTGCAGTTGCGAGAGTACAAAGTATTTGGTTCATCCGCTCCGCAAGACCGTTCTGTTCTGGGGTATCTGCTGCTGTGGTTTCCTGGATGATTCCATCTGTGCGCATGGTATCCGATATGGCGCGTCCAGTGTACTCGCCTCCACCATCGCTTCAGATGAACTGAGTGTAGAGTGGGGTGAAATGTTCCTCTTTTACTTCTGCACGAAAGAATGCCTGGACATCCACTTTCCAAGTCTTGTACTGCTGATGCACATCGCTCTTCCGCTTTAGTAGGTAGATCCACAGGAATTTGGAGAAGTCGTCGACGATGACCATCCAGTAGCGGAAGCCCTCACGCGATGTCGGGGTGATTGGTCCGCCTACATCCGTATGGATGATTTGGATTGGGCGTTCCACGCGGTTTCCACTCGTGGGTGCAAAGGGGAGTTTCTTCAGCTTTCCAAGGATGCATGGTTCGCAGAATTCAGGGGTTCCAGTAAGAGTGTCTATACCTTGTAACCGACCTTTTGCTACCATCCGCTGTATCCGATCCGTCGAGATGTGTCCCATCCGCCGATGTAAGAGGTTGATATCTACTGCAGCATTTGCTTGATTCGAGCTGGGCATGGGCTTTCCTTTGATGTGGTAAAGTCCACGTTTGTGATGCGCAGTGAGTATGATGCGCGACCCCTTGCGGATTTCGCAGATGTCGGATTTGGCGAGGAAGGTGGTGGATAGACCCGTGCGTCCGATCTTGTAGACGGATATGAGTGATAGGGTGAAAACCAGTACTAGGAGGACATCCGACAGTGCTATGTCATACTGCTCAGTTCCCACATGTGCGCGGATGATGACCGTGCCGATTCCAACAGCGTGGACAGTTGAGTCATCTCCGAAGCTAATGCGACACGGCGGGTTTAGTACTCGGAACGATCCTGACTCGAACCATCCTCTATGCGGGACAATATGCGACGTTGCACCCAAGTCTACAATGATGGCGGATCTGTCACGCGCGGGGGATGCAAGGTAAGCCTGAATGCGCTTTGCTAAGGATTTAGAGATATGTACACGTTCGAAAGTAATGTGGCTCTGTTTGTCCATGCTAGAGTCCGAGTCTGAATCCGTATCCGCTTTTGCATCCGCTTTCTTCGCTTTCTCCTTCTTCTTTTTCTTTTCCACTTTCCACTTCATCACACGGCAGTCACTGGTGTTGTGCATGCTGTTACTCTTGTGGAGCTCACACCACATCTTGGTCTCAGTGCTTTTCATCATCGATGCGGGCGAATCGGATGTGGCATCTGTCGGATGGCGTGCGACTTCTGCTACAACATGGGTTTCCACATCATCAAAAGTCAGCTTTGATTTGTCAATGGTATTGAGGATGGATGATGTAAAAGTCTTCCAATCTGGTGTATCTGGGAGTGAGCGGAGGAGGGCGAATGCAATGAGCTTGGTATCAATTCCAAACTTCATACCCGTTAGGCGGGTCTCCAGGTTTTGGAAGATGGAGATGTGGTCTTCGATAGTGGATGCACCATCCCAGCGTAGGGCAAAGAGTTGCTCAAAGGAGTAGAATGCGGATGCGATGTTGGAGGTGTTGTGGATCTCTATGAGTTTGTCCAGTAGCCCTTTGGATGTCGCTTGGGATGCGGTTTTGAGGAGTAGTGCATCGGATATGTGACCTTGGATGATTCCGAGTGCTTTGTCGTCACGTAGCACCCATGTAGTGACCGGGTCATCTGCGGATGCAGATGTAGTGAGTGCGGATGCAGGAGAGGGTTTCGGCTCTTCACCAGTCGCAACACGGAGGACTTTCTCACGGCATAGCTTAGTGTAGATACGTAGTTTCCAAATCTGAAAGTTGTTTGGTCCGGTAAGGACAGGACAAGCGGATGTATCACTTGTGGAATGGGATTTTGTCATGATTGACGATGGACGCGGATTTTAACCCTCCGCAGGTTGGGTGAGTTGTTCTGAGGTCGATCTAGCTAGTTGGCGTAAGCAGGGCTCATAACCTGACAAAACTTTGAGTGAAGCGGATGTGATCCGTTAGTACCCTAAGCAATGCGGATCAGGTCCGCAGATACACCTAAGTAAAGCGGATGGAATCCACACTCAGCCGCTGCCAAAGGAGGCGATAGAAATGACTGTATTCACCTAAGTAAAGCGGATGGAATCCGCACTACTCTAGATTAGCTACACTGTGGTATAAATGAATGTAAGTGAAGACATACCTCAGCCGCTGCCAAAGGAGGCGATAGAAACGACTGAGGGAAAGTATGTACCAAAGCACCTCTAATATATGGGCAAAAACCCGCTTGCTAACTGACCATGCATATTTCCTATGAGTCCATGACTTGTATCAAATGCACTCACTATTACATGTACACCCGAAACATTCCGAAACAATCCAATGCACCTTATTACATATCCGAGTGCATGCACTTGCATCTGACCACGCATGCAAGTGACGGATCATCCATGCGTGCATGGGCAAGCATCAGATGGGAGATGGATACCCGCAGATGGGTCTAGGATGGGTCGGATGGATGTGGAATATCATCTGGTTTTGTCAAATAATACCCTGGAGGCTGTAACCGACGCACCGACACTTGCCGGGGATGACCCGATTCCTAAGTTGAGTTGTGTTACCAAGGGTTTGTCGTCCCAAGGCACCAAGGAGCTCTTTGAAGCTTTCTCAAATCCTACCTCGGGCCTCCTTATGGCCTATCAGGACCCTGGAACCGGTCAGCAATCTGTTGCCAAGTTGCAGCGACTCACTACATTTGTTGGTGATCCGCTTTTTAAAAATGCCGATGCGCTTTCATTTTCCCATACATGGGAAGCAAAGAACATTGATGCCTATTTACAGGACAAGGCCAATCCATTCCAGGAGGAATATGGCTGGCACCAATCGGCTGTCAAGATCAGGTTGCCGAAAGAAGGTATGAAGTGGACTTCAGAGATCGAGGCCCCAGAACTCGAGGTACCTGGTGTCTACCATCAATCAATCGTCGACATCATCGAATCAGTTTTCATGGATGACATCGCAGCATCATTCAATATGACCCCCTATCGCAAATACTGGCAATGCTCAGAGGACCGTTCAATCGAGGTCATCTTGGAGGCTTATTCTAGCCCCAAGATGCTAGAGACTTACGCGGAAATTAATGCTTTGCCCCGAGAACCAGGAGATGAATTAGAGTGCACTGTAGCTTCACTAATGATCTGGTCCAACACTACACATCTCACAAGTTTCAGGGATGCTTCACTCTGGCCCTTCTATCTTTTCTTCGGCAATCAGTCTAAATACATGCGAGGCAAACCATCCGCTTCGGCTTGTCACCATGTAGCTTACATTCCCTCAGTAAGTTGCTTGATCTCAGTGTATTGACACACAGCTAATTTTAAACCGATCCGATCGTTTGTAGTTGCCGGATGATCTTCAAGATCAATACATGGCTATATTTGGGGAGCCTACTACTAGCCAAGTATATACACACTGCAAATGCGAACTAATGCAAGCAATATGGACCCTGCTGTTGGATGAGAACTTCATGCATGCGTATGAATATGGTATTGTAATAAAATGTGGTGATGGTATCACTTGTAGGGTATTCCCCCATTTTTTCACATACTCAGCCGACTACCCCGAGAAGTGAGTCCATTAAAATTAATTCATTTCCGGTGCTGTGCTAATACTTCTCAGAGTTATTCTTACAGGCATCAAAAATCTCGGACAATGCCTTTGTCCCTGCTGTCTCACGTGGAAGAACGAAGTTCATTTGATGGGAACGAAGCATGATATGAAATGGCGCCTCAGACGCATGCGCAAGGACGATCAGATACTGCACCGAGAAGTTAATGATGTGTGGGTCCTTATTTTTCAGTCAGGCGCATCTGTTGATGGGACTTGCATGAAAGGTATACTCAATAGCAAGTCATTGGTTCCAACCTGAGTACGTTTCTCATATTGTTGCTATACTAACTACTAATTCTATGTGCTATGTAGAATGCATTTGCTGAGAAGCTATCACCGCACACTGTTATGACCAGAGTTCACTGAATGGCAAAGTCTGACAACAACCACTAGGACTCAGTCAAGGATGATGATGAAAACGGATAGTATTGAGCGTGAACGTCTAGGTCTACTACAACAGTAGAGAACGAAGAGGTTAAGTCTAAGGAGTACTTACGCTAACTAACCTACTTATATACATAACATTGAATAGGAGTCTGAAAGAAATCAGTCAATGAGAAAAGAGTCGTACGATACTGCAGATGACTAAGTATGACATCATGAATATAAGCGAACGAGTAATACGGCAACTAAATAGAAACCCAAGCTCCGACCGGTTCTTCTTCAGGAAGCGAGATTGTTCTAGCCCGTGGAGTAGGGGAGCCAATCAGAGAAACCACGGGTGATATGTGAAGAGGTGAAGGCATGACAGGGTGAGGAGTCACGTGACCGGTTCGGGTTCTGGAAGTAGCCGAAGGGAAACCGAGGAAAGAAAAATGGTTCGTATTTGGAATTTGTGACACACACCGACTTCAACTGATTTCAGATGTTTGTCATCAATCAGCTGCATGAGTTTGAAATTGGAGTATGGAAGGCTTTATTTACTCACTTGATGCGCATCCTACATGCAGCTGGGGGAAAAGCTGTCTAGGACCTTAATGAAAGGTAAGTGATTTGAAATTTGCACTGCGCTATGATAGGCTAATACTTTTGCTTAGATATCGAGATGTCCCGATGTTTGGTAGAGGGACCATCAGGAAGTTTAATTCCAACGCATCATCGATGAAACGTCTTGCCGCACGCGATTTTGAGGATCTTCTGCAGGTATGATTCATTCAAATTTCTTTCGGCACAAAGTTTTAATGTTGGATATATATAGTGTGCGCTTCCAGTCTTCGAAGGCTTACTTCCTGGAGGGCATGATAAGATCGTTCAAGATCTTCTTTTCAATTTGGCAGCTTGGCATGGATATGCAAAGCTATGCATGCATACCGAGGATACCCTTGAATTTTTCGACACTGCAACAATCATTTTGGGACAGACGGTCCGCCATTTCGCTCGAACAACATGTAAGCATTTCCACACTACAGAACTGCCTCACGAGTACGCATCACGCGGACGGCGGGAAGCAGCATTAGCTTCCAAGCAGCCCCTATCAAACTCAATCAATGCAGTCCGATCTGGGCCAAAGCGCAAAGCCCTTAATCTGAATACCTACAAGTACCACGCCCTCGGTGATTATCCAGATTCTATCCGACAGTTTGGTACCACTGATAGCTACAGCACACAGCCAGTAAGTTTTTTTTTATTGATTTCAGCATGCTTATATTTATATACTATCTATAGGGTGAACAACAGCACCAGCACGTGAAAAGGTGGTATTCGAAAACCCCAAAGGGCAAGAAGAACACAGTCCCAAGCATGACATGGATTAAGACCAGGGAACAATTGCTTGGGAAGATCGTCCAGGCACGGGCTCTGTTGTCATCAAGAGAAGGTGATCCCGGATCACACCGCCGCAAACATGAACGCACATCACCAGCGGATCACTATCACATTTCTAAGCACTCAAGGACTTCACATGATCTCACTGAGTGGCTTGGGGATCTAACCGATGATCTAGCAGTAAAGGTGCACTATTTTTAATCTTTGAAAGTTATAAAATTTTGATCTGAGAACCAGGATTTTGTTCCACAACTTAAAGACCACCTTCTGGCATGAATTTGTGGTATCGAGTACACTGGTGATGATCTTGATTTCACTGATGAGGATCACGACCAGATCGAGATTGCTAACAACAAAATATATGAACATAGTGTCCTCCGTGTGAACTACACTACATATGATCTTCGACGAGAGCAAGACTCGCTCAATCCACATTCCCATGCCGACATCATGGTCCTGTCACACGAGACTGATGCCAATCAACACCCATATTGGTACGTGTGGATCATTTGCATACTCCACATCGATATCTGGGATTACAACTACGCATCAATGACAAAACCATGCCAAATGGATTTGTTATTCGTGTGCTGGTTTGGACGAGACGGAAGTTACAGTTCCAGTTGGTCTGCAAAGTGGTTACACCGCATCAGCTTTCTTAGAGGTGAGGACCCTGCTGCCTTCGGGTTCTTAGACCCCGATGTCGTCATTTGGGGTATACACCTTATTCCAGCGTTTGATAAGGGTAAAACTGATGAATTCCTTCTGGATTCATTTGTCCGTCGCGAGGCAGATCTGGGTAAAGATTGGGTTTATTTCTATGTAAATATGTGAGTCTACTAACATCATCGCATATCTACTGCTAACTAATATTGCTAGGTTCACTGATAGGGATCTATTTATGCGTTACAGAGGGGGAGGTGTTGGTCACAAGATATCCCGCGGATGGGATAATTTTTTGCAGAGTGACAGCACTCAGGTAGAAGAGGAAGAGGAGGCTGACAGTGGGAACAAAGAAGAGGCCAGTGAGGACAAAGAGGAAGATGAGGGCGAGGAGAATGAAGAGGGAGTCAAGGAAGTCCAGGAAGAGGACCCTGTGTTATGACCCACGTCCAACAATAATGTTGAAGGAGAGTTCACGACCACTAGGACTCGGTCAGAGATGACGATGAGTAACAGGATTGGATTGAGCGTTGAACGTCTAGGTTACTACAACAGTAGAAACGAAGAGGTTAAGTCTAAAGAGCACTTACGCTAACTACCCTATTCTTATACATAACATTAAGTAGGAGTCTGAAAGAAATCAGCCAATGAGAAAAGAGTCATACGATGCTGCGGATGACTGAGCATGACATCACGATATATAAGCAGATGAGTAAGACGGCAACTAAACAGAAACCCAAGTTCCGACCGGTTCTCCTTTGGGAAGCGAGATTGTTCTAGCCTGTGGAGTAGGTGAGCCAATCGGAGAAGCAATGGGTGACCTATGACGAGGAGTCATGTGACCGGCTCAGGTACTGGAAGTAGCCGAAGGAAAACCGAGAAATGAAAAATGGTTCATATTAGGAATTCGTGACACCCTGATAGAATAGAAGCAGACGAGGGTGAAGTTTTAGATGACGATTTCCTGGCAGCGGAGGGGTACGGGGCTTTGTAGTTTCACGCTGTATACCATATTTTTGATCCGTCATTTTTCAATCATTGATCCATCTTGCATTTACCAGTTTATCGTTACCACATGCAAACTTTATTTGGGCAGTGCGGCCGTTACAAAACTATGTTACAATGGTCTACATATAACATTATTGCCATCTTGTAACTACTATATAACGCTGGTATCACCTTAGCATCTACAATATAATCTCCCTACCACTGTGGTTGCCCTGCATTTATCGTGATGTCATTGTGAGGAGGCTTTACAATGTACCAATCTCTTATGATGCGCGTATACATGGGACCATAATACTCGATTGTGTGAATTAGTCTTAATAAGGTAATGTTACCCCATGTGACATTTGGGCAAATTTGGTGATGTCAGCAGTGTCATGAGTCACGTGCAACACTCGCAGCAGGCATGAAAGCTGTTCACCCAATTGTTCAGGGACTGTTATTGTTCTCGTAATAATTTCGATCAGTTTGTCAAGGATTCAATCATTCTACTGATGACGTGTTACCACTGGAAGGTATGGGGGCTGCCATACGGCACAATAAGCGAACTTTCTACTCGACTCTCAATGCAGAGACTAATTCCGGGTCTACGGCACAGCAGAAGAGGATGTTAGACAAAGTATGAACTAACGTTGAAAAAAAAGTGGAGGGGAGAGATGAAAGAGTAGTCGAATGATATGCAAATAGAATATTGGTGGATAACGACGAGCTAATCAATCACTGTGCACACATTTCCTCAACAACTCATCTCTTGAATGCGCCACCTTTGTCCCAAGTGCCTCTAAAGCACTCTGCATCCCGTCTACATCCACATGAGCATCCAATACCATTTGCACCTGCTCTGAAATGCCACCCAGTGCATCAATTGCTGTGTCCTTATCGAGCTTCGCCAAATCCCCCTTGCTCACATCATCAAGACTTGACAACATTTTGTTGGTGAACGTAATGAGAAGTGGGACCACATCAAGACACTCGTCGAGTATGTGTGGGTACTTCCAAGCTTGATTGGTGAGCAACACCTGATTGTCCGGGCGCGCTACAAACCAGACATCCCACTCTGGCCAGGCATAATCTTCAGCACAGGCAATGCAAGAAAATATCAGGACCAGTCGTAGTGAGAGTTCTCTGTAGTCTTCTGTGTTCTGAGATGGTGTATGAAGAGCTTTGGACATGGATATACAGCGCTGCATGTGATCGCAGCTGCCTTGGCAGAGCTGCAAGAGCCAATACTCACTCTTTGCAAGGGCGAAGAGTATTTCCAAGTAATGAAGATCACATTCTAGATGGACGAATCGATCTGGTGAGGTGTCATCTAGTTTGACGCAATCGCCCTGGATATTTCCAAAGGTTGCGGAACGCAAGGCCGGGAGGAGTTCATCGCGAACACCCTCTGTGATATTCACAAGTACCTCTCTGATAACATGGGCAATCTTCAGCCCAACATGTCTGAGGAGAGGTGATGCTTTCCACTCCATCGTGGAGATGATGAAAGGTACTAGCGAAGCTGTTGTCTTGGGAGTGAAGATGGCTGCATCAGCAGAAAGTATCAGCAGCGCATAAGCAGGCGGGATGCTGTTTTGAATTTCCGTGCCTTCAACCCGCCCGAGATACCCGAGCAGCACTGAGGCATCCACATTTGCCTTCCATGGAGCAGCTGAACCCCAGACCATCCTGGAGTATGGTATCCCGGATTTGAGCAGGTCATCCATAGCACAGCATGCGGCAAGGCAAAATGCTGGGATCGATGCGTCTGTGATGCATTGTGGTTTGGTAGTGTTGAAGACATCTAAGCCCCAGGCTTTCACCCTGTCGATCTCAAGACAACTCCTAAATTCTGTTTCGCAAACAAGGCGCGCCAAAGGCTCCAATATGGCCCTGAAATGCAAGACCTCAGTTTCGGAAAAGGTATGTGATCTTGGTGATGGTGAGAAAATGGATAGGGGTAGACGCGAAAGTATGCCGGAGGATGTCACTTCGGGATGTTGTAGAGTGGGATTTGGATCACCTTGAATTGCGGCAGTGATATCTAGTCTTTGAACAAGATTCAGGACACAAGGAAGGATTGTTTCAATCTTGTCACTGCACACATTAGATGATCAGCCTTTACCACACATCGAGAAAGTCGCGTCGTAACTGTAAGTACCTGTTGTCTGTGATTTTGATTTCCTCAAGGTTGATCTTCCACCAATCGAGGATGGCAATCATGACATAAAGACATGTTACAATGGTTTTATGGGAAGGAAGACAACGTGGTCGATCAATGGGCAGCAACCTGCGGATGATATAGATTGCCAGAGGTTGCAAGAACAAATGACGGCGATGGTTTTCCTTCTTCTAGTAAAATGCCAGTGGTGATCCGTGAAGGCCGTGCAAGAGAGGGTGTAAGAACCATTCCAGCACATCATCCGGTATGTCGTCAAGATTAGTATTGGCTGTGCGAAGTTCACTAATAATAACCTTGTCTTCAGGGATTGGACTAGAACATGATTTGCCATCAACAATGTCAAACCATTGCTGAAGCACAGTCAGCAGGAAAAGCAATGACTTTCCGTCCTGACTGCGGTTTACATCCACACTGTGACAAAGCCCTGCTACTTCCTTGCTGCCATCTTCGCCCGTGAAGGGTGAAATGTGAAACTTCCTAGCATAGGCAGTGAAATACAGAGAGGTCAGGGCTTTTGCGTAGACCAAAACGGAAGGGGATAGAGAGCTAGAATTGAGCCCGTCCTGAACTAGCCTGAAGAGTTTGCCCCATGTCTCTGCTGTTCCGTAACCATCAGTTGGAAAAGGGACATCAGGAATCCTTTTCGTGGCAGCGAATACAGCGTCGGGATTGAGGGATGTTCCGCAGAGCCAAAATACGAAGTGTGATGTATCGATGACTGACACCCTGTGAAGATGCACTAAGGAAACAAGAACATCTGAGGGATACGATAGTAATGTGAGTAGATTGTGGAGGAAAAGCAGGAAGGTTTTCAGGACATAGAAGAGTCACTGCGGAAACGAGAAAATAGTCAGGTCGGATTAGTGTAGGGACAGAATCCATATGTGGGATATAAACAGATGTCGCATATCATATGTATTCCCAAGTGTTAGACTAGAGTGTCATCCCGTACCTCCGGATCCGGAATTCCGGATCTACTCCATTAAAGTTCAGTCCTCCATCTTACTATTCCGCCTGGCGCTCCACCTTCATCTCCGCACTCACCCCTAACTCCTTTTAGATTAGCTATTGCTCCTGTTACTGGTTATGTCCTATTCCGCTATGCTTACTGATCCGTCCACTCTTACTTCATTTCCGACTTCACTGCTTTGATCCATTATACTTAGTAATAGACTTTCCACATGCTTCATACATAGCCCTCACCTTTGCTGACTGATTTACCTACATGATACCTACAGTATATAAACCCCTGTAATACTCCGGAACTCCTCAGTTCGAATATCATCTTAGTTCTGCTCATTCCTGCAATCTCTGGACTTGAGTCTCACCTCTTGTCCACCTCTGAGTCTTAGGGGTTAAACCTTAGGACTACTTCTCTGGCTCTACCTTAATGTAGTCTAACCTCTGTTCAGTTTCTACTCCGGACTTCCGTAGTAGCCTTACTCCGTTCCTGTATAAACCTTCCGGAGTTCCGCTGAACTCTGCCGACACTAAGTCCTCCGGAACTCCCCGGATTTCCGGAGGACTTCCCCTCTGTCCCCCGGAAATTAAAGGGCACGTACTCGGGTAAGGGGCGCAGCGCACGAGCTGAAGCCAAAGCCCTTTGAGTAACCTCTCCCTTGAGCACGACCTTAACATAGAGAGTGGTTCTTGTTTCTAAGTCTAAACAGACACCGCATAGATGAGTTGTGCAGACGTAGAATTGTAGTACTAGCAGCTAATCCGACTGCGGGATCAGATCTGAACATTTGATTCGCACATCCAAATTATGTCTGCATACACATAAGAAATGGATCTAATTAGACTCTGCAAAGAATATACACAAGGTCCATATGCTTCCTAGGATTCGCCATCTGCTTGCCCATAGCTTCTCGCTCACTCTTCTCTTCATTCCCTACACCCCACATCCATGATGTATGGGTCCCAAGGCCCACAGCGACGCCCTACTGGTGTTCCCATGTATCCTAATCAACATGGTGTCAGTCAAGACTGTCAATCTCAGATGATGGGTCATGGTCCATACCAATTCGGCCACAACCAGCCCCATCCGTCCCCACTGCCAAACGTGCCAAACAACAGCTTGCCCCAGCATGATAACTTCTTCAGTGGACCAGTGCCTGAGCATGTGATGGGAACCCCACAATCTGCCAGTACACCATACCTGGGTCATGGAAACTCACAAACACCTTTCTCGTTGAGCAGCGAGCCACGCTCGCGCTCGCAGTCCTTAGTGCCAAGTGGTGGACACGACCATGACTATAATCAGTTTCAGCGGCCTCAATTAAATGTGGGAATGCACCCATACCAACCTGGTTTGCTTTTCCAGGACCAACCTGGAGATATGCAGCAGTACACAGGGTCCCAGATAGCTCCTGCCAGTACTAGTGCTGGCGAAGTTGTATGCCTATCTGAAGGCATGCATCAGCTTTACATCAAAGTTACGACGACAGCCGACACACTCACGGCTAGAGTTGATTCACATGAAGCAATGATGCAGGCTCTTCGGGCAGAGATAGCACAGCTGCGGGAAGAATGCCAGTGTGGTAAGGCTGCTGGAAACAAGAAGGGCCTCATAGAAGCAGGTGAAGGCCACAGGAGTCTGAGCCTCCTGCTTTGGATCCACCCCAGAATCCGACTTGGGTTCGGTCACGCTATCGTCAACAGTGTCGACCAGTTGCCCAGTGCTACTAACGAACACTTGAGCAGCACGTTTCTTAAATATTAATGTGCTATTCAGCAACACGAACGAATACAACTGAGAAAAACTCACGATATCTTCAGCAGTCGGCTCCGACTCAGGTTCGGTCATGCTATCGTCCACTACTGGAGGACCTGCCTTGACGATGTCCAATAAAAATGATTGATATTGCTTGAATTCTATTTAGTAACATAAATCAATAGAACTACTAGGCAAAAACTTACGGTTTTCTGGGCCTCCAACCAACCACCAAGCACTCCCGGTGTCTCGGTGTGCATGTCGCTGGTGTCGGGACCGTCTACAGCACCAGCTTGTGAGCTCAGCGGCTGGAGAGGCTTTTGGATAGATATTTCGATGGTCTGCAAAGAAAATTAGTTGACATTGGTTTAGTTGCACAAGGGCCCGGACTTACTACGGGTCCTGGGGTTCTGCACTCAAAAGTGAATTTAAATGTTTTTACCCCCACGGGCAGCTCGAGCTTGATTGCATCGCGGGCTGCCATAGTGTGAGTGGTAAGTACAAGCTGTAACACGGGACTTAGAGAAAATTTTGAAAAACTTACTTTGCTCTAAGCACAACCTAAACAGACATTGAAATGTTGAATTTGCGATGCTGATTAGTGGTGGAATAGCAAGTATTTGAAGAGAATAAATGGGGGTCCAAATAGACGTGTGGATGAAGTTGGAAAAGTGTCTATTTAGTGTGTTGCTCTGGACCGAGCGAGCAAAATTTGTGACATGTCGGATTTACGTCTGATTATGAGCTAGGTACGTTTAGAGTTGTGTTACATATGTCGTCTCCCTCTGATTAGGGTCTGGCTAAAATCTCGTTTCCGCAGTGAGTGGAGAAAGTAGAACAGTCATGCTACACATTCGGTTGGCTTGTATAGAAATACTGCCAGACATCCACCAGATCAGAGGCCCAATGTGACGCGCTATTGACAAATTAATTCCCTTCAGACTGTGATACACGAGTGCAGAAGCTGGTGTTGTAGAAGGGCAGCTGACATAAAGGTAGCTGCCGATGGTGGCCATGATGTAGAAAGAGGCACCAAAGCAAGTTGTTCCAATGACAGCAATGGCCACCGTGTATTGTTGAGTCCATAGATATCCCCCAAGTCCAGTGCCGAAAAGCAACAGAGAAATCTGTAGCAATGCAGGTATAGCACGAAGGACTGCTTCGAAGTGCCAAGTTTTGAGTCCGTTGACTTTTAGCTGTCGCCTTTTGCGACGAGTTTCACGGGGTCCTGATGAATTGTCTCAGTAGTCCCTCAGCCACTGCTTCCCCAATACAGCTCCAAGAGCAGCCAGAAGGCTGACAGATAGACTGGCATACAGGAGAGCCTGCGTCCAAATAGTAACCCAAACAGGACCATCCCATGAGGGAAGACTGAAGACTTGCCCCGGGAACGTGGTGTTATTGAGTTGAGAGTATATCATCATCAATAAGGCATTTGTTGTGTCAGTGGGAGCGGGGCTTAGGTTAGGGTGCATTATCCCTAAGAAAGTGGTACTGACGGCCGAAAAAAGACCTGCCTGAAGAATATGCTCACTCAACAGAAGAAGGTGCGTCGTGTGGGTCAGAAAAGCTTACGAAAATTAGACCATTGTCTAAATCCGAGGTATATCACTCAATGAACGCTCTGTCAAACTCTTCCGCTTCCTGATCGTATGCATCCCAGAAGCCATCCGAATTATCTGAAGGGGGTGGTTTCTTGGCAGTACACAGCTGCTTGAGCTCATCCAGAATTTGGCACAACAAGGATTCGGTACTGTATAGCAAAAATTATACTCCATATGCAGATGTGGGTTGAAGGACCTACGTTTCCAGCTGCCCTTGAGGAAGAGCACTCTGAACAGTGCGCTCGCCTGATTCAGAGTCTAACATTTCTTATGTAATAAGGTGCATTAGAAAGGAGAATGAGGCTATGAATCGAGGAAATTTGAAGTGATTTCATCGCTGGGCAAGCCTTTTGCAGAACTCCTGCAAGGCTGGTAGAAGGAAGAAGGCTGGAAGAAGGCTGATGGCACTTCACGATCACGTGCATGTAACAGACATGTGAGGTGATACTTACTTACCTTTAGAAACACAATAACTGCAGGTTCGTTTCACTTGTTGTAATTATTATGATGCAAACCACCTTGCAATTGTAATCCCCTCCTGCAGTAGCTGAGCGCTGATTCCCAGTGAACATCACCGACGAGTTACAGTACTTGATTAAATATGTCATACTATAAGTATTACTTATATCATTTTCCTTTTTAGTTACCGTATGCTCAGTGCTGAGTACTTACTACTATGGTGCGCATCACTTAGTCACCACCACTTTTGTACAAGTTTCCCACCACCTTCAAAAAAAATCGGATTGCTTTTTCCTCTTACAAAAGTGCTCAGTTTGATGGGGGGAACAAAACTGTAAGACGGATTTTTTATTGGAGCAAATCTGAGTGTGAGAAATTTTCTGAGCGGGGTCAGATTGGCCACTACTCAACTATCTTGCCTATAATTAGTCGAAGAGCTGCGCTACTGTTTCTGGAACACGTCTGTGGGACTTGTACTTCATTGAACTGAACTGCCGAACCTTAAGCTGAGCATCTTTTGTCCCAAGCCCCGACTGATAAGCTTCTATCCACCTGTGTGTCCGATGTTCCCACAGACGGATACTCCGCAACTCGACAGATGCCAGGGCTCGTGGCATACTATCTTTCAGTGTCTCGAAAGTACAGTCGCAGTGATCTCGAAGGTACTTCTTGACCCGTCCCCAGAAGAACTTGATGAAATTAAGCTCGCAGTGGAACTTTGGAAGGAATATGCAGAGGTGACCTACCCTTTCAATAATTTCTTGCACGAGTGACTTCTGCTCTTTGAAGTCAGACTGCAGCTCCAGTATACGCTTGTTGCAGCAATCAGTGGCATCGGATTCGCATTTTCCCTTGCACTTGCTGCGAAGGGAAGGTTGATATAGGCCATGTTCTGTGAGGATGGTTTTTATGCCCTTTGGCTCTCCAGGGTGCTCAGGATGATTGGTTGGGAACATCATTTCCTGCTCAATGCGAATGCCATCATGAATGAACCAGCCGTTTCGCATGTGCGCCTGTTTCCCACCCAGGTTGACATTCATGCGGCTGACAAGGAGAGCATTTTCAGAGTATGCAGCATGTCCCTGTGAGTTGTCGATGAGGAACAATGCTTGGTAGCCTGGGCCGTGAGCCTGCTCAAATGCAGGGATGATTTTATCTTTGAGCTGCATGGTGTGTCAGTTCTGAGTCACAATCATTACAAAGTACGAACCTGATTGCAGAAGTGTTCGCCACGCCAATAACCATCATAGTTCTTTCCATATTCCAATGACTCCCCTGCTTCAACCAAGTGGCCAATGGTTGAACAAATGACATCACTGCGATGAAGACCACGACCCGCTCCCTTCTTACGCAGTCGAAATTCATCCTCAAATACCCAGTATTGATCCACCGCATCATTTGCCTGTGCCGTCATCTCATCGTGGGCACAAAGCACAAGTCGACATTCAACAAAATTCCATGGTTTGGCAACAACTTCGGTGTCAACATCCCCAACAACATACCGAACAAATCTATGTTCGTAGCTTTTCATTGTAGGTATGAAATGACTTTGACGGTAGTGCAGAACATCAGGTCGGTCGTGCCCGTCAAAATAAAGACCTTTGCGATGCTTGAGGTATTGAAATCCTTCGCAGTGCAGCCACCAATGTGCAGTATTCAGCGAGATGCCATGGCTGACCTTCAGGTGAATACGGGGAAAGATCTCGAGCTCCATGTATCGCTTGAGGCCACGTGGCATTTCTTCATCGACAACATGCTTGAGGTATTTATCTGCTTCAGCAGGTATCAGTTTGTTTTGGGAGAACTGAACAAGCTTGTCAGGGTTCATGGCCCATTTATTTGACCGAACGTATGCACGCAGCTCTGCAGCGATTGCAGGATCACTCAGGAGTGAGTACACCTTGGCATGATGGCCCTGCAAGGACTCTGGGAGCTTGTGCTCTGACACCCATAACCTGGTCCAGTGGCGCACCTGACGGCCTCCCCATTCCGCAGCAAATCCATGGCTTTCTGCAGCTCGTTTTGAGGCGTCAATTGATAAACGTCCCTTCTTGACAACCATCATCAGGTAACTCTGGATCGAACGGGCACGTTTGGCTTGCAACCCATTCAGACCTCCAATGAAAGCCGTCTTCTTTGACTTCAAATGCTTTTCAATTGCCGCGAGTGCTCCCTTGAGCTCTTCGAGGTACTTCTCCTGCTTCATCCTCCTCTGCTCACGGTGCGGCACGTCAACCCTGCATCACTTCAAGGCTGGCACAGCTGGTAATCGAGTACTGCTGGTTGCTGGAGCAGTGATCTCACTGTCGCTATCTTCAGATTCAGAGTTGTCTGCTGGTGGTTCTGACTCTGAGTCAGAGTCGTCAGAGAGGTAACGAAGCTGGTGGCTGCGCAGTTCAGCCGCTGCACCATGTGACGCCAGGCCTGGGGAGTGTTGTTGGATGGTGGGTGCACTGCTGTTTGGGCGAACAAACATGTTCCGCATCAGCAAGACTTGTGGATCATCTCTGCAGGATGTCTGGTGAGTATTATTCTGATATACTAAAGTTACACTGGCACTCACGAAGTTCGTCTTTTTTCTCGGTAGTCAGCAAGATCTCTTGCGATCTTGTTGTACCTTCGTTTCGTCCTATCCGAGTGCCTGTTGTATCCAAGTGCCCTGATCTGCTCAGCTTTCTTCCACTCTGTAGCAGTCTTTTCCTCCATGATCTTCTCAAACTTGAAACCAGCAGGCTGCTGAAGCGCATCAACCTCGGCTTTGAGGGCAGCCAGATTTTCCTCCAACCCATCTCCTTCAAGCTCACAGAGGCTCTCACCATCCGACCACTCACTCTCTGATGTATTAGGCTCGTACTCGCTCTCTGAATCACTGGATAAGACCTCCACATTGACACCACCAGTGTAGCCACAGTCAGATTGGGAGTCCATAAATTCATCGTCATTTTCGGCTGCATCAGCAACACTCGGAGCTCGAGAAGGCAGTGAAATGTGGGTGTTAGCGGTCCACCGAGCTATGCGGGCATGAGAGGCTTTGGACTTCTGGTATTTCTTCACCATTGTCAGTCACTGAGGGTTCAGACTTTGACGGAGTTCAGAGGAGTCTTTCGTCACACAAAAACATGCATATTCTAGCTTAGTTTGAAGTGTCTCAAATTAATATATCAAAGGCTTTGGTCTCATGAAGTTTTTTTGACGTCGCTAGGAGGTACCTTACTGCTAGGGTTAGGGTTATCAGCGCTCGACCAACCAATTTGGCCGCTGTACAAAAGTAGTGGTCACTAAGTGATGCGCACCATAGGTCGACTCCAGGACTCCAGGTAGCGCACATCTTACTTGCACACTGTGCACCTCTGTATACCCTTCGCGGTAGATTTCCTGAAATAACGGGAGCTGCTTCTCCATCTCTGCTTATCCTGATGGGTAAGATCAACTTCACGGCCGACGAAGCCTCCCTCCTCAAGGCCTACAAGTTATCATCCCAGAACCCAACGTATGTGGTAGAAATCACTGCCTAAACGCACAATTCACCGTTTCATAGGAAATGGGAAGAGGTAGACCACGACCTGGAAGATCCTCTTTCTGACCTGCTTACCTCCCAATCCAACGATGGAGAAGGTGACCCCCTGGGCCTTGGCGGCGTCATTGAGTATGTACCGTCATAGAGCCCGCCATTTAATGTTAACAACGTTCGCAGTCTGACGAATTTAGACCCAGAATCCAGTGCGTGATCACGTCCGTCTTCAGCTAGGATTTGGGTTGTTCATGCGGCTCTAGAGATGTCTGTGCTCATCTCTTCCAAATCATTCGATCCCAAAGCCTTTCTATCTGCTGTACACCCAAATGCAACCTACCAAGATCTCGCAGCAGGCATTAACCATCTTCAGTCATCTATCGATGCCCGTTCAGAGGCCGTCCGTGTCCTTGTAGAGGATAACTTTGATCGGTTCGTTGCCGTCAAGGCTTCTACTGATGGTGCGTTACGTGCTATTCATCTGTGCTTGTTCCAAAATAACCTGTGCGTGCCCGTAGCGTTATATGCGGAGATGCGCGAGGGATTACTGAGCGACACGGCGGAGTTTGCTAGCAGACCGCTCGTAGACTGCTTAAAACGTTCGTCCCAGTATCACTCCTCTTGATCCTGTCTTTGATGCGCTTCGAAACAGGCTCAGCCGTGAAGGCTAATCAGGTCTTCCTCCCTGTCCTCGAGAACAGCGCCAAAGCTCAAAAGCTGCGCACTACGCTCGGCGTCTTTGAGCGCTCCAAGTTCTTCTTCAGCCTGCCTGGATTTCTCGTGGAATCCATCGAGGCTGGAAGGTATGAGGCTGCAATGCGTCAGTACAACAAGGGCAAGTTTCTACTCGATTCTCGCCCGGGCCAGCTCCTTCCCGTCGAGGCAGGTGCTAATGCCAGCTCCACGGCGCGACAGAAGAGGATATTGGACAAGGTGTGGGCAAACGTTGAAAAGGTGATGGGAGAAATGAAGGCGCTACTTTTGTCACGATTGCAAGAACCAGGAAGGAGCGTCGAGGAAATGGAGAGAGGGATTGAGTACGCGTTCACTCGTTATTGCTCACGTTCTCGTTCTGAAGCAGCACTGACTAGGATTCTCCTGGAATTAAATACGCCTGAAGACCCAATATGGACCTACTTTGATAGTCAGCATAAGTACATCATGGATCGGATGAGCGCTGCCTACAGGACTGGTGTTTCAAACATTGATGGCGCGTTCCGCTCGCTTTGTTGGGTGCTTTCAACTGACATGCATCATAGGCATAAAGTCTCGCACGACCCCTGATCTGTCGCCTCCGCATGCACTCAGACAGATCCTTGGTGCGCAACTCCAGGTATGTATTGTAGCGCTGGAGAGCAAAGCGTCTGAGGCCGTGATTGGTGAGCCAACATCCCTCTAGTCAAACTTTGTTACTCATTCGTATTGTGTCATACTCAGCACAAGCAGGCGGTCATGAAGTCTGGCAGGGTATCTGGGACATGATGAAAAACGTGTCTGAGGTTATGATCTCTTCGCTTCCAAACTTCTGGAAAATTGCAAAGAGCTTCTTGGAGGGAAAGTTTAAACGAGTTCGTATCATTCGTGCGGCCATGACATCTGTCTAACGTTCACTTTTTCCGCTAGACATCGTCCTCGAGGCGCAGTGCCTCCCAATGCAGGCAAATGGCACTCGACATCATCAAGCTCTACATCAGTCTCCTCTCGGAATTCTTTATTCTTTCAGACATCCTATCGAAGTCCTCGACCCCCAACTCTCCCCTACATCTACCATCTCACTCGAATTCGCTAACGACGGCTCACTGGCTGACCAAGATCCTTAGTGAGGTACAAGATTGCGTGACAGAGATCGGCGCGTTGGAACTCGGCGAAGGCGGTCTGGTGAAAGGACTGGTGGAGAGCGTGCGGTGGCGTTTTGAGGATGTGCTAGTGAAATCTTGGGTGCGAGGTATGCGCTAACATTATACTATCCCTCGTGCATTTATACACTCACTATCCTAGACGCCAACCACATGTACGCACTCGAATCATTCACGCCTGATCTTTCCACCCCTTCCACAACACTCTACCTCACTTATCTCGAATCATTCATGCGCCACCTCGCGACGTCGGCATTCAAAATCGCGGGCGGTCTTTCGGGGGACAGCGGATCAGGCGTACTACGGGTTACGCAGCAGAATGTTGTACCACCAGTATTCACAACGAAGATCACGAAGGCATTTTTAGACGCAATATATGCAATTCTGGATGGGATGGTGGTACTTGTCGCGGAGGAAGTGCCACCAGGTGTAGGCAGCGGAGCACCTGAACGAGAAGGAAAGCAGGAGTTGATCGACCTGCGCGACTCGGTGGGTGGTTTTTTTCTGCTTGTCGATTCTGACACTGAGACAGCCATGCATCAAGAATGCGAGGCTTCTCCTTGTGATATCGAATTTCTCAAATTTAACAGCATCGTTGATACCCGGTATGTTGTCTCAGTTGGAGAATGCGCTCGGAGTATCAGTTGAGGATGATAGAAGGGTAAGCCTACTGCTTTGCTACTTACGTTACATTGCACGCTCAAATAATGGTGTAGGCACTAATGAAAGCAGTGACTGCGCTGGACAAAACACTCTTCGATGGATATGTCAAGCCCAAGGCTGCTGTCATCGCAACCATCTTGCGAGACGGCATTCTTGACAAAAACATGGATTGGTACGAGACGCCCCAACCCACAGGTGAGCTTGTCTCGTTCCACTTGTTGCTGCCCGCTCTAACATCCAACGTAAGAAATACGAACATATATGTACAAGGCTTTAATGGGCCTCGTCGAGATCCACGCACAAATTAGCCGCGTCGCAGAGAATCTACTCGAACGCGGGATGCATGCGCTTGTAGAAAACGCCGCTGAAGAAGCACTACTCTCGTTCAAACAAGTCAAGCGGTTCGGTATGGGCGGTATGCTTCGCGTATGTCACGTTCTCCTTCGCATGTTACTTTGTCGTTTAAGATGCCATTCACAGGCTACGCTAGAGATCGAGTTCATGCACCAAACGCTTGCGCGCTACGTGTCTCCACCAGCTGCGAAGACGCTTTCGGAGTTGTACAATAAGATCTCTCAGGCGTATGCGCGACGGGCGGGAGATGAGAATTTGCAAGGGAATCTAGATAGTGTGAAGAGAACGCTGGCGGAGAGTCGGCGTGCGACTGGGATTGAGTTCATGTGTTTTAGGGTGCCCAAGGAGAGGAGTGGGAAGGGGAAGAAGGAGAGAGACGAGGGTAGGGAACGGGGGAAGGAGAGACGGAAGGATCGGGAGGGTAGAAGTGATAGGAGTACAGCTTCATGAATGTAATTGCTCTGATTCAGGTTCGAAATCAGGCATCAACAACCCCACTAAGTCCCCGAGTTCTGAGGCACTTGAAGATGGATAGTTTTGTGCCAGTGCGACAAGCTTACTAATACCGTACTTAGGGACCAGTCAGAACTTAGAGCGGACATGTTCGGGCGAACAAAGAACATGTTTGCAGGACTATGGATAACGACGTGCAGGTAATGATACAACGAATGATAGGTATGCGACATCAACATCCAGCGCTACTAAAGACCACCACGAAGACGTAGGACGAGATGAAGGGTGCTCTCCTTCTGAATATTATAGTCAGACAAGGTGCGACCATCCTCCAACTGCTTTCCGGCAAAGATCAACCGCTGCTGATCCGGCGGGATACCCTCCTTGTCCTGAATCTTCGCCTTGACATTGTCGATGGTGTCGGATGACTCCACCTCCAAAGTGATCGTCTTACCCGTGAGGGTCTTGACGAAGATCTGCATACCACCACGGAGACGAAGAACGAGATGGAGGGTAGACTCCTTCTGAATGTTGTAGTCGGAAAGAGTGCGACCGTCTTCGAGCTGCTTCCCGGCAAAGATGAGGCGCTGTTGGTCAGGAGGGATACCCTCCTTGTCCTGGATCTTCGCCTTCACGTTGTCGATGGTGTCAGACGACTCGACTTCCAACGTGATAGTCTTGCCCGTCAGGGTCTTGACGAATATCTGCATACCGCCGCGAAGACGGAGGACGAGATGGAGGGTGGACTCCTTCTGGATGTTGTAGTCGGAGAGCGTCCGACCATCCTCGAGTTGCTTGCCAGCAAAGATGAGGCGTTGCTGGTCAGGGGGGATACCCTCCTTGTCCTGGATCTTCGCCTTCACGTTATCGATGGTGTCCGAAGACTCTACCTCCAACGTGATCGTCTTGCCCGTGAGGGTCTTTACGAAGATCTGCATGCCTCCACGGAGACGCAGGACCAAGTGAAGGGTAGACTCCTTCTGGATATTGTAATCAGAGAGGGTCCGACCATCTTCGAGCTGCTTTCCAGCGAAGATGAGACGTTGCTGGTCGGGTGGGATACTGCAGACGATCGTCAGTCATAAGTGGCACAAACTTAAAAGTATACGTACCCTTCCTTGTCTTGGATCTTGGCCTTGACGTTATCGATGGTATCAGAGGACTCGACCTCAAGAGTGATGGTCTTGCCGGTGAGCGTCTTAACAAAAATCTGCATTCTGTGCCCGTCGTTAGCCTGACATACAGATAGAGATGAGGGAACAAAACATACGCGAAGGACGTGCAGTAATATTAGAGAATGTAGAGGAGTGGTTTGCGAGGAGGTACGAATGTGGGGAAGCCCTAGATAACGGGGTATTTATATACTGGAATGTGGCGGAGTTTAAACATCCGGCCACAGCAAGCGCCAGCCACAACGCCACTTGCCCAGAGGCTCAGTAAGCATCATGATCTTGCTGGATCCTTCTGGAGGCGTAGGGCTGTGTCTCAATAGATCGCCGCATGCTTGGCGCTGACTTCCATCACAAATGCTGAGCAAGAGGTTCGCAGCAACGGCTATAAATAATGCTCTGTCCGATGGGCAGGACTGGTTCATTAGGAAGGCTTGTTCACGAAGGTGAGAACGCCAGCATGTTTTTTGGTCCCAGCTGATTATGAGCCTAGGAGCCTCCGATCTTTACTCTAACAAAGCCCTTAGCACGGCGAGAAAAAAAAAACACAAAGAACAGCTACATTACGCGACAGCGTTCTTTCCGCAGTTATTAGATTCAGTCCAGTACTTGCTGTTACTTGACTGCTTCCAGGAGACGTGTGTTCCACTCTCAGTACCCCCACACGTCGCCGCCGATAGCTGTTTTAGTACACCCTGCAGTCGCCATATGTCGAAGTGATAACATGCAATGACAGGTGAGCATGCGGTTTGACGTTCAAGGGTGGCGAGCAGATGCTGCACAGCGATAGTTTGGAAGCCCAGAGGATTCTCGGGGATGACAATATTAATGGTGAGTTGCTCGAGATTAACAATTGTCATATCTGCATGCATTCGCTCGGGCTTGATAGACCTGTGTTGCTAATTCTATAACCATTTCCCGAGCTTCGTCCACCTGCGTTTGTCTACGTTTTCGCGTGCCCTTATAGACTCCACACATCTCTGCTAAGTACGTCCGGTGATGGAAGGCAGGGTAATTGAGCGCAATAAAATACCACATTACTTCCTCTGCTCTACTGCCATTTCTCGTCCATCGCCGCTACGAGATGTTTTCGAGGCCCAAGATGGGAAATGAATGTACAAATCCTAGAGGTAAACTATGTAAAATTGAAGGAGTAGACAAGACGAGACATGCAGCCAGGATTATGGACAGAAAATGCAGCAAAACCATCTCAAACTAGACACCTATGTGAACAAATACGATCTGCTGTTCTAATGGAATCTTCTTGCGCAACGACTTCACGGCCTTGTGCAATGCTGCCGCAGCGCGCTTGCAGTCCAATCTCCCTGAACCATCAACCAGATTGTCATAGAAAGCAGATGCAATCTGGCGTGCAACCTCGTCGTCGACAGACCACATAGAACCTATCACACTGCGAAATCCGGAGAATTGCATTGTCGCAGCGAGATGGATGACCTCATCGGGGTTGGACGCATCGCCCACGGTAGTGTGGCACGCCGATAAGAATGCAAACTCCGGGTTCTGCCAGTGGGATCGGATGATCTCCTTGATCGTTAAAGGCTCGTCGCGCATTGCGAAGGAAGATTCAAATGGGTGTTTTCGATTTGGCACTCCATGGCAAGCCAGGTGAATCCACTGATTGTGTCTTAATGCATCGAATGCTCTCTGCACCGTCGCATCACTGTCCTCGAGCGATGTGAATGACACGACAGGTGCGAGACGCTGAGCGACGGCTAGCTCGGGAGCGACACATCGGAGTTCCTTCCCTTTGTCCGGGTTTGCTTTGCCAATGGCAACAAAACGTTGCATGGATGCATCTCGAGAAAGCTGCTGTCTCGCCCGAATCAGTGTCGCCAAAGTTGGGGTGTAAGAGGAGATGTAAAACTGAGACACATTCTGGATCTTCTTCTCATAGGGCCCCGCTGCATGTAGAGGGAGCAGCGTAAACTCAGCGGTGGGACACCACCAGATGCGTGAACCGGGGTGAATCAACTCCCTAAGGACTTGAACCACGGGACCAACAACATCATCCCAAAGCTTGCGGAGGATGCTGATAATCTCGTATAATTGAAGTTGATGATCAGAAGAACCAAAACTCTCTGCGAGGGACTGGAACTCGGAGGACAACTCGGAGACTTCGAGTTGTGTGATATAAAGTGGAACATGAATGGGATCTCGGGCACTTGTGATAATCAAGGCATCACAGCTGTATTTGCTTGCGTTGACAATGATGACCGGACCATCTTCTGCCGCTTTCTGGAGATCAGGGAATAGCGGAGGCAGGAGAAAACGAGAGAAGCTAGGTAACGTGCGGATGCGTGAGATGACATCGTTCCATTGCATAGTTAATTGTCGGATTTGTGGGGACTGGTCTTCAGCAGGCACATCAAGCACGGCGCGAAGGCGGAAGCTGAGCTGCTGGAACTCTGCCGCCAAGGCTGCGCCGGTGTCACCTGACACGAAAAGTTCATCCAGTGGTGTGCGGAAGCGTGCCAGCTGGGTCCAGAATACTGCACGACCTTGTTCCACCAGTTCTACAGCAGTCGCGAAAGAACCATGACGAACACAGTACGACAAAACATCCATTGCAAGGGATGATGTAGTCTCCCTGATCACGTCGAAATGGCGTGAGGAGGAAGATAGAGCGGCAACGTGCTGATCGAGGAAGCTTAATGTGGTTTGGTAGGCGGTCAATGCAGAGCCATGATGGAGCCGCTCGGCATGGGTGACCCATGACTTGACAGTCACAAGATCACTAAGAGAGACTGCATGGGATACTTCAGATAGTTGCAAATAAAGCCTAAAGGACTCGTCCAAGTCAGGTGATAGACCCAACTGCTCGAATCTTTCTTGAAGGCAGATAGCAAGGTTGTTAAGATAACGGGATCGAAAAGAATGGCCTGGGGGACAGAGCTCCAGTGCAGCTCGATGGAACTCAATAGCTTCATCGAGGTCAGATAGGACCCCCCGCTGCTTGAATCTGGATGCAAGGTTGATAGCAAGGTTATTGAGAGAGTCGGATCGATCTAAATGCCCAGGAGGACGAAGCTCCAGTGCGGCTCTATCGAGCTCAATGGACTCATTAAGGTCAGGCAGGATGCCCAACTGCTCGAATCTGGCCTGAAGGGTTTTGGAAAGGTTGTTGAGAGACGCGGATCGAAGGGAGTGGCCAGGAGGACAGAGCCCCAGTGCAGCTCGATTGAGCTCGATGGCCTCATCAAGGTCAGACAGGACCCCCCGCTGCTCGAATCTGTCTCCAAGGCTCATGGCAAGGTTGCTGAGAGACGCGGATCGACACAAATTGCCAGGGGGACGGAGTTCTAGTGCAGCCTGATGGAGCTCGATGGCTTTATCAAGGTCAGACAGGACCCCCCGCTGCTCGTACCTGTCTCCAAGGCTGACGGCAAGGTTGTTGAGAGAATCGTCTCGATCAGAATGGCCAGGGGGACGGAGCTCCAGTGCAGCCTGATGGAGCTCAATGGCCTCATAAAGGTCATTCAGGACGCTGCGCTGCCCAAATCCGTTTCCAAGGCTGATGGCAAGGTTGTTGAGAGACTCGTCTCGACGAGGATGGTCAGGGGAACGGAGTTCTAGTGCGGCTCGATGGAGCCCGATCGCCTCATCGAGGTCAAATAGGACGCCCCGCTGCTCGAATCTGTCACGAAGGCTGACGGCAAGGCTGTTGAGAGATGTCGATCGATCAGAATCGCCAGGGGGGCGGAGCTCCAGTGCAGCTCGATCGAGCTCAATGGCTTCATCAAGGTCAGACAGGACGCACTGCTGCTCAAATCTCTTATAAATGCCGAGGGAAAGGTTGTTGAGAGACTGGTCTCGACGAGGATGACCAGGGGGGCGGAGCTCCAGTGCAGCTCGATCGAGCGCAATAGCCTCATCGAGGTCAGACAGGACGCCCCGCCGCCTGAATCTGACTCAAAGGCTGATGGCAAGATCGTTGAGTGATGTTGATCAATAAGGATGGCCAGGGGGGCGGAGCCCCAGTGCAGCTCGATCGAGTTCAATGGACTCATCAAGGTCGGAAAGAACACCCTGCTGCTGGAATCTGTCATAAAGGCTTATGGCAAAATTACTGAGAGAAGTGGACCGTCGAGGATGGCCAGGGGGTCAGCGCTGTAAAGCTGCTCGACGCTCCTCTGCATCGTCTGCCATTTTATTGGAGCAACATAGCAACTGTCCCATCTCGCTATTAAACGTCTCGCTAATGAGTATACGATACAGTGAGATCACGCTGAATACGCACGGAATGAGCAGAAATACAAGCCCTGTGACACTTGGGACTTGCGAGGGAAATACGCAACCTAGGACTTGTCAACAACTCAGCGCTCAACATTCAACAGGACTGAAGTACTTAACCGAGCATGAACTTCTGTTTGATCCCATCATATTCGGGAGCAATTGCATAATTACGCGACGCGACGCGATCTTTCGCTTCTCTCTTGAGTCTTCTTGACAACCTTTGGTCAGAGACTACTTAGTACTTATCATGGCTCTCATGTATGGCAAAGAAAAGGATGCAGGTCATGAACTGAGTGAGTTTCCGATGTCAGGCTCAATGACGGACGTTATTTTAACTCTGACCTGGAACTAGCCTCTGACCCTGGCTTCGTTACATTCTTCTCAAAACTCCCAAAGAAATCACCTGAAACTGGAACGATCCGCCTCTTCGATCGCACGGACTATTACTCTGTCCACGGGCAAGATGCCCACTACGTCGCCACACACGTTTTTCGCACTAACTCCGTCCTCAAGTACCTAGGTGCTGGAGGCAAGGCTGGTGGTCTTCCTAGTGTTACGCTGAGCCATACTCTGGCTCACTCCCTTTTGCGGGATGCTCTTACATCTAAACAGCTGCGCGTGGAGATTTGGGTGCCCGCACCAGGGCAGGGAAGGAAGGCCTCCAAGTTTGTTTTGGAAAAAGAGGTGAGCAAGCAACGTCTTGTCTTCATGGCTGTAATTTAATCATTTAAAAAGGCGTCTCCTGGAAACCTGCAAGCTGTCGAAGATCTCCTCTTTGTTAGCTCTGACGTTACGTCGGCACCTATCGTTTTAGCTGTCAAAATATCATCATCTTCGGCGACGAACAAAGCTAAGACCAAGTCTGTCGGCATTGCCTTTGCGGACACAAGTGTGAGGGAGTTTGGAGTTGCTGATTTCGTCGACAACGATCTGTTCTCGAACCTTGAAGTAGGTTTCTCAGTTTCAGACTGTCACGGCCATCTCCTCATACCGGAATAGTCTCTTGTCATACAACTCTCAGTCAAAGAAGCTATTATTCCAACCGGAACAGCGTCGGGGACGACAGACCGCGACCTCGACCTGAGCAAGCTAAAAGCCGTTTTCGAGAGGTGCGGCGTTGTTGTGACCGAACGTAAACCAAGTAAGCCAACCTCTATGCAGTCTCTTAAGCCAACTAATCCCAGTCGCTCAGGCGAATTTACTGCGAAAAATGTAGTAGACGATGTCAAAAAGCTAACAATTGATTCGGAAACAGATTCAGAGTCTGCTGCACCGATTCGTGGGTTTTAATCTTTGAACTGCATTGACAACACTCAACAGCATTTCAGCTGAGCTCTCCCTGCCTTCAGCCCCGTCTGCTCTCGCTGCCTTGATCAGTTATCTCTCTCTCCTTTCTGATCCATCCAATCATGGTGCATACAAGTTACGGACACACGATCTGGCACGATATATGCGCTTGGATGCTAGTGCATTGCGTGCACTGAATCTCATCGATGCCCCTGGGAGTGCTGTCAGTCATTCGATTATTATTTCAAATTGATGTCTCACCTGCGAACCGTCACCTCGTAGGGAAGTATCAATAAGAACGCAACACTCCTTGGTCTACTCAATAAATGCAAGACCGCTCAGGGCACGAGGCTCCTCGGGACATGGCTCAAGCAACCTTTGATAAATCTGCACGAAATATGTATGCCCATTTTTCTACTTTACTTCGCAGAATAAAAACCTTGACCTTGCAGGTAAACGGCAAGACCTCGTGGAGACATTCGTAGATGACGCATCTAAACGGAGAACGCTGCAGGTCAGTATGATACCATCTTCCAAGGGTCTCACTCATTTTTGTTCCACAGGATGACTACTTGAAACTGATGCCTGATCTCCATCGGCTAAGCAAGCGATTCAAGAAATCTATCGCGTCCCTTGAGGATGTTGTGCGGGCATATCAAGTCGTCCTCAAGGTACTTCGGTTCGGTTCTCAACCATCAGTGATACTTACTTTACCCGCCTAGCTGCCTGGTTTGCTTGAGGCTCTCGAGGGTCTCCAGTACGAGCACGAAGAACACAAGGAGCTTATCGACGAGGTTTATATCAAGCCTTTCCAGGTGCGCCGTTGTGATTTCATCGGGTTATGCTGTACGCTTTTTAACACATTGTGCTACCAGGCTATTAATGATAACCTCGTTAAATATGGCGAGATGGTCGAGTCAACGCTCGATCTTGCAGAGCTCGAAAATCATAATTATGCAATCAAGCCTGACTATGATGAGCGTCTCCAGACTCTGGCAGACAAACTTGTAGAGGTTCGTCCTTGCATCTATCAGACTCTGGTGAACAGGGCTGACATTTTTTTAGATTCGTGATGGTCTTGATGCCGAGCATCGTACTGCAGGCAAGGATCTCGGGCTTGACCTCGACAAGAAGTTGCACCTTGAAACTCTCAGACCTACGGTTACTGTTTCAGGTTGACGAAGAATGTATGCGTGCCGTGTTCTGACATGTCATGAACTCACAAACCCATCAGGACGCCAAAGTCATCATGCGGAATAGCAAGTACACCGAACTCGGGACTGTCAAGAGCGGGGTCTACTTCACGACCAAGAAGCTGAAAGGATTTTCAACGGATCATCAAGAGGGTAACACATGAATATCAGCGCACGCAGAGCGGGCTTGTGAAGGAAGTTGTGAGCATCGCGTGTAGGGTTTTCCTTTCATGATACCTTCGCCATTCACATATGCATTTTCTTCCTACAGCAACATATACACCTGTACTAGAGAATCTTGACCACGTCATCGCACATTTAGATGTGATCCTCAGGTGAGCACAGTGACCGGAGGTGTTGAGCATGCCGTAACGACGATTCAGTTTCGCTCACGTTTCTGTAAACGCTCCCGAGCCATACGTGAAACCAAAGGTTTTGGAGAAAGGCAAGTCTTGAAGGCCGGGCTCGAGGCATAAATTGACCAACAATGCATTACCAGGCACTAGCGGCTTAATATTGCGCGATGCACGGCATCCTTGCCTCGAAGTTCAAGACGATATTAGCTTCATTCCGAACGATGTAGAGATGGTGAAGGGTAAGGTTGATCACACCGTCGCCGTTACATATCTCACGTGCCGCTTTGTAGGCGAGGGCGAATTCCAGATCATCAGTAGGTCAGCCCTATCTTTTCTGACATGGCTAACCTATCAAAAGCCGGCCCAAACATGGGCGGAAAGAGCACGTATATCCGTCAGGTGCATCTGCTATTCTCGTTCGGGAACGTCATTCTTAACCTATCTTGCACAGGTTGGAGTCATTGCTCTCATGGCACAGACTGGATGTTTCGTGCCTTGCTCGGAGGCAACCTTGCCGATCTTCGATTCCGTGCTGTGTAGGGTGGGTGCAGGTGACAGTCAATTGAAGGGTGTCTCGACATTTATGGCCGAGATGCTTGAGACTGCGTCGATTTCTCCGAGTAAGGGCATATCTACAACAGATCCTTCCTTAGTCTGACC